CATAGTTTGGTAATTTTGTTAGAAATATAAAGAAATATAAAAAGTTACAATATTTAAATTTTGACCAGCTTAAGTTCACCTACTCATATATGATTACTTAAATTGACAAGAACATGTTATAGGATTAGGGGTGCTTATGAGGCGGATAATTACATTTAACGGTTCGGTTTAACGGTTATCGGATTATAAATGTAGTAATCCGCTAGCCATCCAATAAGACAACGAGCGGATTGGTATCAGCTTAACAATTATCGGGTGGCTTATAGGCTAAACCAACTAAATTTTTTTTTGAACAATTATTCAATCAATACCAAGACTACACATACTGTCATTACACATATTAACCAAATTTGTAAAATCAGAAAAGCACATTCGTTCAGTAATCAGTCAAACTTTCAAAAGGACATTCGTTCATAATCAATCAAAAGGCAAAAGCTTTAGCCTTCGTCCTCAAAGCTCTGACGCTTAACTTAGCTAGAAGCTATAATTCGATTCTGTAATATGCAAATAGATAAAGGTAAACATGTGGGAAAAATCAATATTCATATAAAACTGGGCAGTCGCTTGTAATTGAATCAAGAAGTTGAAAAAAGAATAGTAATTTACAAATAACAATGGGAAGGAAAGACAGATAAACAATGGTACTTTATATACATAGAGGTAAAAGTGTAAATATAAAAATTCTTAACGGGTTAATGGTTTACCCGATAAGAAAATTGAGTAATTCGCTTCCAAACCGTTAAGCCGTTAATAAAATCTCAATCCGTTCCTCATTCATTACTCCAATAATCTGATACCAATAAACCAAATCGATTCGGTTCGATTCGATTAACGATTTCGATTTTGAACATCGTTATATAGGATATCAGTTTCAAGAAAGTATCTAGAAAAAGGTGCCCAGAACACAAGAAAACATCATAATTTCTTGTCCCAAGATGCTTATTATATATTCCGACCCCTTTATCATGGAGAAAGCCTATTAAGTAGTGTATATTACAACATACGACTATAGTGTTTACATCTATTACAGCATACCAAGGGTCAAAACTTTCTCATGCTCATTTGTTACATTTAAAATTGAAAACTATCTGTCAATTTATAAGTAGCTTATTATAAACATTGATCAATTCATAAAATATTATTAATATTAGCCAAATATTATCAATATTAGCCAATTAGCTATTTGTAGCCAAAAAAAGGTCATTTGTTTTGCTTCCTTTTGAGTGGGTATTATTAGAATAGATTGGGTACATCTTAAGGAGCTTGAATCTCAGTTTTTGGATGATTTGGTGGAGCTTTGAGGTGGTTTGAATTGAAAATTCGAAATTAAAGATGATATGTGTATCACATATGTATCAAATGTATATCACATATATATCCATATATACTTGTGTGTGTGAGAATGCATGTGTCGCAAAAGAATTTTTTGAACTCGATTTTAACTTTTGATACCAAATCAATCTAAATCACCACCAATCTTCCTCAAATTTTGTATATTGACTCATCCATATGTTTTCAATATNCCCTTTTCGTCTTGCATTTAATGTTGCTAATCACGCTTAAAAATATGAAAGGAGATCTTTGCGTGTGGATTCTTGGAGAGAAAGAACCTTATTTATTTGGGTTTTAAATTTTTATATGTGCTTGGCTAGTTTTGATAAGCCCGTGATTAATGACTAGAGATTGGTAAGGGGGGATTTGCATCTATACCCAGTTTTTGGGTCATAATTTAACTTATACCCGCTTTGTAAAACAAACTGCAAGCGTACCCACTTTTCGGGTAACTTCAGGCAGACGGGGCCTGAAGTAGCAAGAATTTATGTCTGAAGTTTGAACTTCAGAATTTTTTGCCTTAAGTGTGACCTTATCAAACTAAAACTTCAGATATTTTTGTCTGAAATTTGACCTGACTTGCAAAAGCAATCAAAAAAATTCAATTCGTAGTGACAAATTAGTCTGAAGTTCTTCAGTTTGTAGTGCAAACTTCAGACAAAATCAGCTTGTTATATTTGAATTTTAGATAATTTTCCTGGCATGATAGTTGCAAACTTCAGACAAAATTTAATTTGGTAATGTCTGAAGTTTGGCCATGCAGTCCCAAACTTCAGTTGATGCTTCTTCGAGTTTTAACAATAAACTCTTGTTTTATTATTTACGCACTTTGTGTTGGGGTGCAAACTTCAGATAAATTAGTCTGAAGTTCTTCAATTTGTAGTGCAAACTTCAAACAAAATCAACTTGTTATATTTGAACTTCAGATAATTTTTTCTGGCATGATAGTTGCAAACTTCAGACAAAATTTAACCTGGTAATGTCTGAAGTTTGTCCCTGCAATCCCAAACTTCAGTTGATGCTTCTTCGAGTTTTGACAATAAACTCTTGTTTTATTATTTACGTATTTTGTGTTGGGATGTATTAATGTTTGAAAGGCAGTGGCGAGTCTTTCTTTCTTCTTGATTTGTCGCTTTGTCCAATTTTCAGAAACGATCACATGTGTAACCTACAGGATAACATGTTTGAGAGAGAAAAGAAGAAGAGGAAAAGAAGAGGAAGAAAGGAGCACATAGGTCGCAGGATCTGAAGTTGTCAAAAATAGGGTATATGTTAAATAATTTTAAAAATATGAATATAAGTTAAATGGAGGCGACCAAATAGGACGCCCCATGCAATTTTTACTAAGTTAGAACTTATTTGAGACATTTCTGTAAGATTCCTTTTAATATTCGCCTTTTATGCAAAGCAAAATTAAGTACTTTGGGTAAAATCGTAGAACAGGTAAAATACTAATGGACAATTACCTCTCGAAGATTATGATTTCCAAGAAACGTTGTGTTTTATCTTAGTTTGGTCTGAACCACAAGTTTTATTCGTAAAGTCAAAATGTTTTATTCTCTAACATTCCATAATATTAGTGAACTCAATGATCAAGTTATATATGGTGTAGCAGCGATAACAATAACAATAATAAGAAATTACCAAAATATAACAATAATAAGATAATAGTACTGCAAGTGTCATTGCTATTATAGAGATCCTGATGTTTTTAGAATGAATTCAAGTTATTTTTAACTCCTCAACTTGTTGCCTTCTTTTGAGAGCTTAATATTTGTTAGCCAGCCGGTTAATAAATAAGTGTATAATCAGTGGTTATTTTTCACAGATTATGCAATAAATATACATACATAGACTACACAGTGCAAACATGCTAAAACTTGTAAAAAATAAATACTGGGATTATGCTCTGTAGTGTAAAAATAAAAAATCCCCCTTTTTGTTTTTTGTTTTTTTCCTTCTCTGCCAAATTGTAACAATAAGGGAAACTGATTTACATGCTTTACTCCCATCGTCCCTAATCGTGCATTCATTTTCAACTTATAATGACTATCCTTGGAGTGGGCCCTGTTTCTTCGGGTACATCCGATAAAATTCTGTTAACTGATGCAGAAGAAGCACCGAATCTAGATTACTAGGACATTTTTACACACTATCTAGTTAAGAATTAAGATACTTTATCGTAACTAAAGCTCTAACCAAGTCACAAGTTGTGGTGTACCTCAAACACGGCCAGTACCAAATCCGTCCAATTTATAAGTGAATTTGCTACAATCCTTGCCTACCAAACAGTTGCACATCTAGAATCCAAGGTCCTTCGCGTGGAAAGGAAATAAGAAAAAGAGCAAACATAAATACTAAAAAAGCAGCTAATGAGGACACCTAATAAAAGGCTGATGAGCAAAACAAGGACCCCAATAAAAGGATAGCGCAAAACAGGCTTCCACATGCAAAAGACTCCCTATTTACACATTTTAATAACAAAGATCACAATTTTGTCGTTCTCAACACCCATATATACGTTTCCAGTAATTTCCATCATAAGGATTGTTAATTAAGTATGGATATGTCCTTACACGCTATGTGTACTTCTAGCAATGGACTTCTGGATCAGAACTATTCTTGGGATTTGACTGCATGATATGATTTGAGAATCTATAATAAGTTAAGGGCATTGATTCCACAAATATGTTAGTACAGTCAGACCTCTCTATAAAAGTCATCTTTTATAACAACACTTCACTTTTACGCCCAAGTTTTTTTTGGAACCAATCTTTTATGTTATGTTATAATATATGTTCTCTATAACAACACTTCACTATAGCAGCCAAAAACAATTCGGAACAAACGAGGCTGTTATAGAGAGGTTTCACTGTATTTGGTATTACTTACACCCATCTTCGCATGGTCTTCACGCCACAGAGCCAACTTTTGTGAATGTTTTCCGCAGGCAGTTCTGACTTCCCGAGATGAGAATCTGCTCATTTGGCAATTTAAATTCGTCAATTAAAAGCTAAAGAAAACAACTACAAATAAAATTAATGTACGTATTTTTGTAAGCATAAGCTAACTTTCGAATAAAATGAACTGCTACAACTAAACACTTCAGCCCAATGGGCTGAACCGACTTGAACACTGGTTCAATGTCAAGGAAGGAAATATATGCTGTAATATACAATTTTAGAATATGGTATTGAACACATTGTTTTCTTGCAGGCATCATACATAAACCTATAGCCAAAATGGAGGCCTTTAGGGCCATCTGAATAATTAATTGCATAGCACCCAATGATAATCACTACAGTGAGGAATGAAGCGTTTTATATGCACATACAAGAGATGACATACCTGAAGATATATTATACAAAATCAAACTGAGGCTNAGTGCATTCATTTTCAACTTATAGACTACCCTTGTCTAAACGAAGCAAGGCTATTGGAGTGCCCCCATCCCTTCGGGTACATCCGATAAAATTCTGTTAACTGATGCAGAAGAAGAAGTACCGAATCCAGAGTACTAGGACCTTTTTACTCGCTATTTAGTTAAGATAGTTTATCGTAACTGAAGCTCTAACCATGGTGTACGGCAAACACGACCAGTATCAAATCTGTCCAATTTATAAGTGAATTTGCTCCAATCCTTGCCTACCAAACAGCTGCACATCCAGAATGTAAGATACTTCCCGTGAAAAGGAAATAAGAAAAAGAGCAAACATAAATACTAAAAAAGCAGCAAATGAGGACACCTAATAAGAGGTTGATGAGCAAAACAAGGACCCCAATAAGAGGATAGCGCAAAACAGGCTTCCACATGCAAAAGAATCCCTATTTACACGTTCTAATAACAAGAACACAATTTTGTCGTTCTCAACACCCATATATACGTTTCCAGTAATTTCCATGAAAAGACTGAATCATAAGGATTGTTAATTAAGTATCGATATATCCTTACACGCTATGTGTACTTCTAGCAACGGACTTTTGGATCAAAACTATTCTTGGGATTTGGCTGCATGATATGATATGAGAATCAACATTAAGTTAAGGGCATTGATTCCCACTTTTTATAACAACACTTCACTGTAATGGCAAAGTTTTTTTTGGAACCAATCTTTTATGTTATGTTATAATATATGTTCTCTATAACAACACTTCACTATAGCAGGAAAAAAAAATTCGGATCAAACGAGGCTGTTATAGGGAGGTTTGACTATATTTTGTATTACTTACACCCATCTTAGCATGGTCTTCGCGCCACAGAGCCAACTTTTGTGAATGTTTTCCGCAGCCAGTTCTGACTTCCCGAGATGAGAATCAACTCATTTGGCAATTTAATTCGTCAATTAAAAAGCTAAAGAAAACAACTACAAATAAAATTAATGTACGTATTTTTGCAAGCATAAGCTAACTTTCGAATAAAATGAACTACTACAACTAAACACTTCAGCCCAATGGACTGAACCGACTTGAACACTGGTTCAATGCCAATGAAGGAAATATATGCTGTAATATACAATTTTAGAATATGGTATTGAACACATTGTTTTCTTGCAGGCATCATACATAACTATAGCCAAAATGGAAGCCTTTAGGGCCATCTGAATAATTAATTGCACAGCACCCAACGACAATCACTACAGTGAGGAATGAAGCTTTTATATGCACATACAAGAGATGACATACCTGAAGATATATTATACAAAATCAAACTGAGGCTTCTTTGCAGCAGGATTCATGCTTCGGTTCTGAATTTCAATATCAAGCAGAGCTCTTTGCCGGTTCCTAGCACTATCAATGTAGTCTTGGAGAGGGGGAAGAGAACCGCCAGTACCTTCATCTTTAGGAGCTTGACCACGAATGATCTGTGGCATCCAAACCAAGAAAGAGTAAAAGGGGGAGAATGTCAATATCCAATAAAGAGAAGCAGAACAAATCTAGTCTAAATATAAAAGTGACACCTTTGATGCCCAATGTCTCTCTGCTTGCTGACAGACATCCCTCATGTCCCGCCCAGACAATCTGAAGTTAGTAACCGAAAGAGTGATCAGCAGAACTTTCACTTATTGCTAACTAGTACTATGCTAACTAGTACTATCTATTACAACTATTCCAAGTTGAGGAAATAAAAGCAAAAAATAGTGGAAGAATACTAAGAAACTATTAGAAAACTTGAACTGGAGAACCACATTAGCTTGAACCACATTTTCCAACTCAGCTGCTGAACTTGAGAATCCCTGCAAGTAGGCACTTTAATTCGTTGTAAGAGTGAAGAGGGTTGAACAATAAATTCTTACCCTTCCGTGGCTCTTGCAAATTCAGATAATTCAGAGTCTGTCAAATGCTTTGCATACTGTGCGGCTATTTCCTGACGAGTCTGTTGATCAGGTAGCGGAAATCTAATCATGGAATCAAATCGGCTGGAATCAACAGGAAAATGATGAATCAGAAAGAGCCAAAATTTCATGAGGTATCATTCAGACATCTAAAACCTCATTTACCTAATTAAAGCAGGATCAAGGTCTTGCTTTCTATTAGTAGCAGCCACTACCACTACTTTCTTCTCCTGCTCGAATCCATCAATCTGCACCAAGTAAATTTTTAAGAATCCACCATATGAATCCTTCTAATGGTCATCATATTAATAAATGTAGCAGTAGAAGCACTTTCTAAATGAATACTCCCCATTATTCTATGTGGCACTCTTTTCTTACTAGTCCATTCAAAAAATAACGGCACTTTTTCATATTTGGAAACAATTTAATTTTAAGTTTCTTTTACCCTTAATGGCATGTTTTTAGCGCCACAGAAATCTCATGGTATGGTTTAAGACAAGTTCCAACAATCTTTATTTCTTTCTTAAACTTTGTGCCCAGTCAAACTAAGCCACATAAAACAGTGGGAGTATAAAACTAAAATAAGCAACATTTGTTTCAAGCTAATCCTCCAAGACATCCTTTAAGAAGCTATTAGCTCAAATTTTTCCTTTAATCTTTTCCAACAAGTGTCTAGCAATACAGGGAGCTATGGTCCAATAATAAACCATAATAAAGCTAGGTGATGTGATTTCTTCCACAATGTGACTCGAGTTACAAAGCCCTTCTGTATTTTACAAGAGAGTACTGACAATTTCCTTCAGGGTATTATACAATATTAACAATTTCCCTGAGGGGTACTAACTATGTCTGAACCTTTGCAACTCTTTCACATATCACATGCACATATACTAATGCTAGTGATTAAGTATATTTAGGATTTCCAACAATACCTGCCGTAATAGCACTGACAAAAGTCTGCGTGTTGCTTCATGTGTTTCGCCATCACGAGCAGTGGCAAAAGAATCAACCTGCCATATGTGTGGTTCAAAAAATTGATACAAGGATATTGGATTTGTTGGAAGACAATCTTGAACATTAAATAGAGAGAATTATGTTTCTGCAGTCTCAGGGATTACCTCATCAAGGAACACTATAGCACCATTTGGGAGATCATTGGCAAGTGAGAACACCTTCCCTAACAGGCGTTCACTTTCACCATAATACTTTGACATAATAATTTCCAACGGCACATATAACAATGGCACACCCTGCAACATCAGAAGAGAAGCTCATCAAACCAACCAAAATATTGTAAAGCCGCACAACTATTGTTGCTGCACAGGGCAAGGTGGAAAAGTAATACCTAGAATAGATTAACATGAAAACTCCAAAACACCCATGAACCCTGCCTAACTCGCCACGCTGTCTCTACGATTATAAGTTTCCTGCTTTTTAGGTATGGGGGTATGGATCTCTAATTGTTGAAGCACGTAAAAAGATAATCACGATGCCAGGCCCGGTATACATGGGCACATTTGCACTACGAAGTTTCACCTAGATAGGCAATGTCATGTTCAAGATTGAGGGAAGCAAGTGGATGCAAAAACTATTTTCCTGAAGGTAACAGAAATATTAATTGAGCCTTATCAAGTACATAGATCACATATAAATACTTTTTTTATAAGGTAAATCGCATAAAAATACTAGTATTAACTTCCTAGTTCCTACATACTGGCGGGTACAGCACGTGCTATTACTCCCGTGACATCACTGACTAATAGTCTAACCCAAATTTTCCCTAAAACCTCTGTATAGATCCACCTCTTAGATTCATCCTGGTTGCACTCTATAAGAATCCTGCAACCACCGACATAAATCGAGCGTATGAATCATTTTATTACTTGGTTAGACATTCTCCCTATACATGTGGTTCGGACACTTGCTTTTTAAAGTGAAAAGCAAATGGAATTAAATTTCTTTTATGGTTTATTTTTTGGGATAAATGGACATAGATGATTTTTGTGATGCAGCGGCAGAGAAAAGCCTGCTAAGATGCAAAAAATTGAATTTAAGTTTCAGGAAAGTAATATCTGTCATAGAAGCAATTTTTGTTTACATCTATTCAACGACCGAAATGCATAAGCTGGCATTTTCCTTCAGATGGTCAGCACATAGGCTAGAGTTCCTGCAGCTTCCTCTCTTTTGGTGAGCCCACCTTCGTACTCGTGGGACCACTTTATTTCAGTTGTATAATTTTGTATAGCGCGGGCAAGCCCCGTAACTTTATTATTTCATTTGTAGAGTCATAGAGGCTCCATAGAGGATTTGTATTATTTTGGAGTAATCGGTACTCATGGCATCGCGGATGACATTTCTACTTATGTCTAGTTTATGCTTTTGAAGAACTTTTATTGTTAATGAAGCTTATCTCATTTCTCTCATCTAATATTGTAATTAATTAAATGGATTGAGCTACACAATTACGAGTTGGGGTATGTATTATGCTACAATGGTTCGCTCGGTGCAAGTTGGTAGGCACTGGGAGCCGGTCACGCCGCAGTCCATTTTGCGGCGTGACAAGGTTTATGTACACTAATTTACACTATCCATATTCTGAACTTGGTTCATTGGATGGGTTTATTATGGCAGACAAATGATTTAAGATTAGGACAGAAATCAGTAATTTCTTGCGAATCAAGGGTTCTTCTTAGATATAACATCTGATCTTCAGCAAGAAAAATTAATCAAAGACCAGTATGCATAATATAAATACAGAGAGACAATGTGTTCTACATTGACAAACCTACATCTGCAGGTGATGGCGAACAACAGCACAAACCAACAAAATGGTAGATGAAGCTATAAAAGAGTTAACTGGCGTACCGCTTGATTAGCTATAACACGTGCACAGGATGTCTTTCCAGTACCTAAAAGAAGTACATAGATGAACAAGCATTATTAACTCCCTAGCAGAGGTGGATATTGCAGGAATAAACCACCCTTCAGACCCCCCAAAATTAATTAAAATGTTCAGTTTTTTTGGTTTTGCATAAGGGTCCAAGCAAATCTGAAATAAAACAGTCAAGATTTTGGAGGGCTCAACACCCAATCACTGGATGGAAGTAGGACTCCCAGGCGCCATAGTGATCACATTTGAACTCAGCTTCACGAGACGTTGTGCCGGCTGTATCGCCCGAAAGTGAGTGTCAAGGCGCCTGATGGTGTTTGCCACAGGCAGACATCTTCTCAAGTTACTTTTGGCTGGTGCCAGGAGTGGATCCACGATTTAAACTCTATGGGTTCAACCTTTAAGATTTTTAGAATTGAAACCATTGTACTTTTAAAGCTATGGGTTAATATTTACTATTTGTTGTAATCTTAGTAAATGTTTACACATAAATTTATGCTCTGCATCGAAAGTTATGGATTTAGTTGAACCCATCATCTTAATGCTACATACGCCCCTGGCTGGTGCGATACATGGACTTTCAGATACTTAGGGACTTTTTTGGAACTTTGGAGATAGAAGCTTTGACACCACTCATTGTTGAGAGATATAAGGGAGAAAGAAGAGGCCAAAAAAAAAGAGATCCAAAATCTGAAATTTCTATCATATCTTCTCAACTTTTTTGCTTTCCCTTATCACGTGTAACTCCATAATGGAGAAAGCACTTTTTACTAGGGAATAATGAATCCTTTTGTTCAGATCTGAAGTTTTATAATTAGACCTTCATTTGTGCTTGCATTAAGCAGTAGATCCATGTGTGTTTGACTTGTTTTGAGCAATAGATAATGATAGCTGGTGAGGGCCCTTAGCCATCTAATATTACATTATTTTGGCTTGTACACTTGATGGTGGGATAAATCCTAAATCAAGAGGGATATAAGTGTATAACCTTGTTCGATTCAAATAAAGCAAAAGTATTTAAGATGGTCTTTTTAGACCTTAACTGAGGAAGAAGCCTTTTGTGCTAGATCTATCAAAATAGAGGACATTGTAGTATATTTGGAATCCTACCACTTGATGTAAGTTAATACGATTTTTAATGCATTCTCTTTGATGAACGATCTAATCTAAATACATAACTTAACAGAAAGGAATATGTTTCCTGAGCTTATAATAGTTTATAGTATTGAGAGAACCAATTATATTTATTGAGCTAAAAAGTGAAGAATATGCATATGAATCTTTGATCTACCATTAGAGTGAAGTTGATTTGCCCATCTCATTCATCACTGTTAAAGCCTTAATCCTAGCCCTTCTTTCATGTGTCCATAAGTTAACTTGTTCAATAGTTATTTGCAGATTCACATATACACCTACAATTAATCGAATTTCCAGATAATTTAAAGGCAAGGTGAGTTTGTAAAGTATATATAACTAATCCTTGTGGGACCAACATCTTACTCTAAACTATATTCCCTGGACTCTACGTGAATGCGAGATGCTTTGTGCACCAGGCTGTCATTTTTTTACATGTACAGTTGCTGGTGTAATTAGCTCATGCCAACTTGGCAAATTCAAACCCCCTCGACAAGAAAGCTAATAAAAACAAAAAGGAAAAATAAATAAAGAAAAAACATGCACACTAGAAAAGAAAGCTAGTAGAAGGTTTGGAAGATCTCTATTTTCCCACATGCACACTAGAATAGATTTGCAAGAAATAAAAGCAGTCAAACTCAAGTTAGGTCATTCCATGTCCATCCACCATTGAATTAAACAAAGAAAAATTAACAGCGCTAGTAGGCAAAGCTATTGTTAGCATGTCAGCAGCATCAAGATAAATATAAAGGAAAGCTAAAATTTGGGCATCATAACTACGACAGGCTGATTCCACAAATACAAAAGCATCAAGATGAATATAAAGGAAAGGTAAAATTTGAGCATCATAATTACAACAGGCTGATAACATAAATACACATATAAATGCAAGAGCATCAGAGCAATATATTTTGAATAGGCTCAGCACTGAATAGATATATGCATTCAACATTCAGGCATAGGGGTCAAACCTGGTGGACCTTCAAATAAGACTGCTCGGGGCCTGTTCGTCTCAAATTTGCGCCGGGTCCCACGAGCAATATCATCATATACTTCAGGACTTTGCAAAGCTAGCAATATTGTATCTTCAATTTCCCTACAAATTAGAAAATCAACAAAAGGTGACACTTCAAGACAATGTAGATACTATTCTTGACGACAGGTACATTCACCACTAAACTTGTAATATGCTCGACGAGACGTAGATTCACCAGTAAACTTGTACTATTCTTGGCACATGCACATTCACCAATAAAGTATATACTAGTATTGATGTCAATGTCACTTAGACGCTTGCATGATTTCAAATATACTATTATTCTTTTGAGAACATTTCAAATATGCTATTGTTGAAACAGCTACATTCAACTCTACATTTTTTTCATGAATTAAATCAATCCAAACTAACTATGCATGTCTAGTACTGAAAATGGTAGGGTATGGTTTTATTAGATAAAGCAATTGATTTAGGCAACAAATATCTAGATTAGAGGAAGGATTTGTCACACTAGATTTAGAAACACATATTTTGTCAAAAATACAACCTAAAGAAAGAAAAGGTAAGCTTGGTACTCACGTTACTAGTATTTTGATATCACAGACTTGGAAGATCACATGCACCTACTGTCCATATGAAGATCCATCTAAAGCTTGACAAAGGGCCATTACTCAATTTGAAACTTTTCAAACATTCTAGCTTGTCATTTAAGATGTTCTCGTATGATCAAATAATTGTGTGAATTCTCGTTTGTTATTTTAGATCACGTTTCCTACTTATCAAAGGGATGATTAGGGCAAGGAAGGGGAAATAAAGTAGCCATTTGGACAACCTTTTGGCAAAGTTGTGAAAGTGGGAAAAAAGTTTGTGCAGAAAGAAAACGTATTGGATAGCCATAGTTTTATTGAAGATTTCTGAGTATTTGTGGGTGGAAAAAGACCTTTTCTTGATAAAACACCCTAAAGAGAACTTTAGGGAAAAAGACCTTTACAAACTGTTTTTCAAAAACTTCTTGAAAAAGCTATAATAAACACATCGTTGGAAAAACTTTTTGCAAGATTTCTAAAAGAATTTCAGGACAAATGCCACCTAAATGGTCTTCCCTTATCAAACAAGGGAAATAACCGATATTTCTCTTTTAATTACCTTCCTCCCACCCTTCATCTCCATTGTCTAGATAATCCAAATTGTCTACCTTTCAGGGAAAAGAAAGACCAAAACAAACACCAATTTTTTATCTCCAGTTTAACAGTTAGCTAATTCGGAACAAGATAAATACTTCATCTTGAACCACAGTTGCAGAACCAAAATGCACGAATGTGATGATTCAAATCAGAGTCACTTACCGTTTCTGCAAACTATATCCAGCAATATTATCCCAGGTAATATCAGCTTTTGGATTACCACTATTGGACGCATTAATACCAAAGATTTTTACTCCCATAGACTCTAGAGTAGCAACTGTTTTATCTACAGAAGGAACTCGATCAGCATCCCCTCTTGCTCCCAAGTCCACTGTTTTTTGTTGTCCTGCTAGTTGTAGCACAGATACCAAAGCGTCAAGTTCCTCATCAGTAAAGCTCCCAGGCTTCATAAACTCAATTTCCTGCACATAATTGCAGAAACTCTCATTATTGTCAAGCCAGGTTTTGCAAGCAAGAGGAAGCACAGTAATGCAAGAGACTCCAACAAATGTGGTTCAAAAGGTAAGGAGATGTACAGCTTTGTCGGCGCTAATGAGTGGACGAAACATGAGAATGCATAATTCTCCCTCATAAGGATTTGTATCCTTTCCTCCTGCCTGCTCTGCTGCAGTNCGCTGCAGTTTCATTTTTCTTCTGAGGACGGCTAAGTGCCAGTTGCCAGGCAACCCCACTGCGACAGACAGAATAAACCTTAAGGAAATTAGGGGCATTCACTCGATGAAGCAAATAAGACAGGCTATGAATATTAAAATGCAATTTAAATTTTCCAAATGACATGAACTGTAATAATGGAGCAATATGATCAGACATCGTTAAAGCAGAGATTAAACTAACCTGTCCCATGCCCGTAACATCATATTTGATGCTGCACTAGGATCTTCAAGTTTTACCCCAAGTCGTGAAACAAGATTTGCAATTAGTAGCGGAATTTCACAGGTTGGAGGAACTTGGAACTTGATAGTGACCTGCAAATTTGCATGAATTCAGTTAGGGTGAAAACTCAGCCATAGTCTGCAATGAATTTATTCCTCTTGAAAAGTAAAGTTAAAGCTGTTGAAGAATGTGCCAAATGGCTCAAGCAAACAAAACTTTGAGCGTCTACTGTCTAGAAGAAAAAGCAAGAAAATAACCTTTTGACCCTTTACAGCAACAGTAAAACGAGGATAAGAACCATACTGCACTCCTTTGCTCTTGAGCAGGTTTTCTAATCTACGTCTCTCCTTTTTTGCTGTTTCTTCAAGGGGATTGTGGCTTGGAGTTGGAAGAGAATCAGAAGCCGGAACTTTGGGACTAACCTATAGAACAGCAAGTTAACTCAGTACTGGTTCTCAAAATTTTATCATTTTCTCAACTAAGAACACCAAAGATCTGATTAGTGACTAGCTCATTTCCTGCATTCAAATGTATTATCATTTGTACCTATGAAGGCTTCCATGATAATAATGAGGTGTGCTTGATTAATCATGATTACAGAGTGACACGTCATGGCAACATAAACACCTATGGACAAAAATCAACATCAATAATGCATACTGACCTCATTAGAATCTGCATAAGCTACATCCAAGCCTCCAACTCCAAGCAGTCCAGCTAAAATGGCAGGAATAGCAGTTGAAGGCAACGATCTTGAATAAAATGTATGTCTATGACACCCAAAAGTTCCTGTAAACACTAATTCTAGTATAAAATCTGAAAATTTCAGTAGCTCATTAGAAATTACCCGAAGTTTCACAATATTCTGTTTCTTCCTGAATAAAGAAATGATAACAGTAAATCTTGATCACTCAACAAGGAGAAGAGAGTAGATTGATATGTATATAAACAAGTAAATATCCGTTGCAGCATTTATAAGAGCATATAAATATTCCCAAGCAATAATAGTCTGCAAACGTAAGATGTAGGCCAAGTGGCTACTAGAAAGCTTCGGATATATGAATCATCCATATCCATACCACTCTAATTGGGTTCACTTCATTGCAATACTCAATAATGTATTTTCTAAGACAGGTTAAGGATTCTCTAAAACTAAAGATTCTCTAAGCTTCACACTTATCCATACATACGAATACCTAACCAAATAAAGAGACTCCTGACAAATGTCAAACATAACAAAGTGTATTAACGATGAGGCTTTCTAGAAAGTAGAGGCTTTCCATTGAACAAAAAATGCAGCAGCTCAATCTCTACTCTATGATATTATCATAGGTTAATAAAGATGTGACCTTTTGTAATCAAAAACAAGAAAAGCACTTCTGAGAAGATTTTGGATTTTTTTTCAATTAAGAAACATTGCGTGCTAACTTTTGAAATCATGGAAAATCAAACAAAAGACTAATTTTAACACTATTACATGGTCCCGCGGATGCGGCCAATATAGGAATTGTTAAGGATAGTCAATATATTTGGTGATTAACCAATCTTTACATGCCCATGTTCTTTGCTTTTGGCATGAAGAACAATGAGAGAAGCTTCCGCAGAAAATGAGAAAAAGAAAATAACTAGAATCACATTTGAAATGCTCCATCTCTAACATCATAGCTCTAAGATTTACGGTTCAGGGATTAATATTCAACAGCAGTCTTATGTCAGGACTAAACCTATCATAATCTACCAAACTCTAATTAAATTATACAGGTATACATGAACTTGAAATAAGTAAATGGTCAATTCTTATTATCACGAAATCTAAAAAAAAATCAGGAAGTTGGGCAATTGAGACAATGGGCATAATTGTAAATGAGTCCCAAATGCATGATCACATGTATGCTCACCGAGGCTGGGCTAAGTTACAGCAATTCGGTAACGGCTTAGCTACAACTAGTACTAGAAATTAAGCCAATCGAGAAAGTACATAAACAACGCCTACATATGAACAATATGCTAGCATTAATAATCGATACCGAGGGGGGGAAAAACACAAAGGGACACAGAGAGAAAGCATAGAACACACCATTGTGCGGAGGGAGTTGAAGGATAGGAGAAGGAGAAGCTAGGGCTCTGTAATGAGAGTGAAGAGCTCTCGCGAGACGCCTTATTGACGCCATAATTGAAGCGGGTAATTCAATCGGCGATCTCCGTGGTTATGGTGTTTTTATTTTTTATTTTTTATTTTTTATTTTTTTGTCAGTCTCGGGAGGTTCCGGTTCACGACTTCAGGTCGCAAAATAAGTCTAGAGTAGAATTTCGTTACGATGGATGGATGTTATATAAAGCTCACGTCCGTCGTAAGACTAGTACTATAGCAAGAAATTAGGATAGATATAATAACGTGTAGCCATTTTAAAGGGTTGTTATTTAGAAATTACTTAATGTATTTCGAATTTTATTTTTTTTATTTTTATTTTTGGGACAAAAATATTCTGAATTGTCCTAAAATTGAGATTTTTAGTTTAATATTTCAGGACAAAATTAATACTGACTAATTTATAAATATCATCCCTCAAAATAGTTATACGTGCACTTGTCCCGAAATATATATAATAAGAGAATACTTTATTATATATATTGTCACTTGTAATTTTAGGGGAAAAATAATAATTAAGGCTTAGAAAAGAAAACATAATTAATGAAAGTGATTGAATAAAGTTATTTAAAGCGTAATTAAATAAAATTATCAAATAAAGTTAATCTAAAGTATTAAGGTTTAAAGTTAATTTAACAAACATATTTAAAATATATAGCGAGAGATAAAAATATTTGAATTGAAATACTATTTTTTTGAAAGATAATAGTAAATCACTTTTAAATTTTGCCTCTAAATTTTAGCATCTAAGATAAAAATAGTTATAAAAATAATTACACACATAAAAATAGTTATAAATTAATTGAAACTGAATATTTTATTATTAAAAATAAAGGAGAACGGAAATTTAGCTTGAAACAACTGCATATGCGTTAAGCTACATATTTAGATTCATGTATTTTTTTTGGTTTTGTATTATTATTATTATTATTATTATTATTATTATTATTATTATTATTATTATTATTATTATTATTATTATTATTATTATTATTATCTATACATATTTTATCTATTTATTTTGTTAAACCAAATCAACTCAAAACTTATCCAAGCTTTTGAATTGAGAAATAAAATAAAATCCAAGTTTTTGAATTGGAAAAGAAAACTCCGAAGACGAAAAAATACTTCCATATTTTGGTAAGTGTAAAGTATGAGCACATGTAGTTTTTTGTTTATTATGGATTAAATACTATATGAAATAATTATATAAAATTTTATAGTAGGGAAAATAATATGAAAGAGGGGAGTGAAGATAATGTGAGGGAATTTATACTTTGAATTAATTTAAAAAATAAAATAAAGATAATAAATAAACTAAGAAATATTATTGAAAAGTTTACACATCCAAGTAGTAGAATATAAGAATAAAAATAGATGAAAAACTTTATTATAAGAAAAAAAATTCAAGATCATCTGTAGTATATTATAATTGGAGTAGATGGCAAGGATATGGACACTTTTAAGCTATAGGTATCTTAATAACATGGATAAGAAACTAAAAAAAAGGAGAAAAATAAATAACTACAGTGTAAAAATATATAAAAGGATAAGACTTACTTCCTCCGTTTCAATTTATGTGAACATATCTTCTTTTTTGTCCGTGCCAAAAAGAATGACCCATTTCTAAATTTGAAAATAATTTACCTTTATGTAATAATTTATAGCCACATAAATTATATGTGCCTCATTTTACACCACAAGTTCAAAAGTCTTCTTTTTTTCTTCTTAAACTTTCCAGTCAAATAGGTTCACATACTGAAATGGAGGGAGTATTTGATTTTGAGATGAGAATTCTTTTTAATAATAATCCATATGGTCATACTATATGGATAAGATCAAGTAACAGAAAAAATTATAATAGATAAAACTAAAATAAAAAATAGACAATTGGCATAATTCCAAGAAAAAATAAAAAATATAAAGATATAATTTAAATCTTATTTAGTAATTTCAATTTTAAAAAAAAGGCAAACTTTCATATTTTATTAAATACAAAAGGGAAGAAGAATTAATTTAAGCATTTATTGGAAGTAATAAAAAAAATTATAACAAGTATTAGTAGATTTGTGACATATAATAAAAGAACTTCGTTGTATAAACTTTGAACTAATTCAACACCACCCATTTAGAAAAATAATACAACAATATTCGTATTATAAATGCTAAATGAAAAAAATTAAAATATTATAAAACAAACTAATGTATAAAAAGGAGAATCAAGATAAATGTGAGTCAATCCACACTTCAAATTTATTTGATAAAATTAAGTAAATAACACTCAAAAATATTATCGATTAATTTAAATAATGAAAGAATTCTGAAAAATAGTCATACAAGATAAAGTCAATTTATTAGAATTTAATATAATATAATATTTATTATATTATATTAAAGTGGTAATCTACTAAAAATTTTTATGATAATTTAATAATACTAAGTAATGCATAATCGAATAAAAATAAGCAAGGGGAAAAAAGAAAAAAAATATAAATTTTACTAAAAATATATAAATATAAGACTTTAATCTGAAGTATAATGAGAAAAATAGTACATACACATATAACTAAAATCATAACAAACAAAGACAAATTAATCAAAAGTGACATTAATAAATATATGGTATTAAGTACTTGTTAATTTAATAAAGAATAAAATAAGGAATAAATAATTTATTTAATTATCATATGGGTGTATCCTTTAATTTTATATAAAATTATATTTTCGCACACTTCATAGCAACTAAAGTTTATTAAAATAATATGATATATCATATCATAATTTCATAAGATTAATATTCTTTAAAGTTAATTGCATATCGTGACTCTCGCGAGACGCCTTATTGACGCCATAATTGGAGCGGATAATTCAATCTACAATCTCCATGGTAATGGTATTTTTTTTTTGCCGCTCTCGGTAGGTTCCGGTTCAGGATTTCAGGTCGCAATAATATAGTCTAAAATAGAATTTCGTTACGATGGATGGATGTTATATTGTGATGACCCGATAGGTCATTTTAAGTTTTAGCCGTAACTTTTGTGTTCTGAGACCTCGATTAGCTCTGTTTAGTGTTCCTCGATTTGCATGCGCAGTCCGTGTCTTGTTCCGAAAAATATGAATTTTTGCCTTAAAAATAATTTGAGTTGACTACGGTCAATAGTTTGTGTAAACGGATTCGGATCAGTATTTTGACGGTTTGATGAGTCCGTATCGTGATTTGGGAC